TAATACTTTTTATTTCATTGTTAATATTATCATCTAAGTTATTATCTTCTATAATTAATCTACTCATTATAAAATTTATACTTTAATGGGTAAAAGGGTAAGATAGCTGACAAACTATTTTTATCAAAATTATAATAATATGAAAATTTTAAAATAAACCACCTCCTTAATATTGTTACACAAAAAAATAAGGGGTGCATACTTTTAGATATAAAACTGATTTTATTTCTTTAATAAAAAATTATTATTATTATATATTTTACTTTTATTATTAATCCAGTTCAAAATGAAATCAAAACACTTTTCTTTATCACAAAAATCTATGAAAAATATGAAAACTAATTATAAATCTAAGGCTTTTATGAAAAATATGATAAATATAAATAGAACTATGAAAAATAATTTAGAATATGGTCAAATATTAAAATATGAAAATTGGTGTATTGATGATGTTAGTGCAAAAGAACGTAATATATTAAAAAAAGTTAAAAGAACCAAAAAAAAAGAAAAACAAGAAAATTTAAAAAAAATAGTGAAAGAAGAAAAAATTATATATAAGCAAAAAGCTCTAGATAATATTTTTAATATTGAAGCATATAAAAATTTACATGATATATTTATAGATGAAGAAAAAGCTATTGAATATTTATTTCAAAAAGATTATTTATCATTAAAAACGAAATGTGAATATTGTGATGATGGTGAACTAGGTGTATATTATAAATTAAAATTATATAGATGTAAGAAAAAAGGATGTAGAAAATCATTTTCTATATTTAAAAATACTGTATTTGCTCATCAAAAATTACCTGTCAATGAAATATTGCACATATTGTATGAATATCTAAAAGAGACCCCAAGAAAAAGTATTTATGCTTCCTTAGTAAAATCACCAAAAACAATAACAAGATATAGTAATATATTTAGAGAAATATTTCAAAAAGAAAATAAAAAAGTAATATTTGGTGACTATTGTGAAATTGATGAATCTATGATGTCTAGAAGAAAATATAATAAAGGCAGATTACAAAAAGGTCAAACATGGGTTATTGGTATAACTAATAGAACATCACCTAATAATAAAATTAAAGATTATCATATAGAGATAGTTGATAAAAGAGATAGGAAAACTTGTGAAGATTTTATACAAAGAAATGTAAAACCTGGATCTATAATTTATACAGATTCATTTAAATCTTATCATAATTTGAAAAATATAGGTTATAATCATAAAATGATAAACCATTCTAAGAATTATGTAGATAAAAAAGATAAATCTATACATACACAGAATGTAGAAAATATGTGGGGACTAATAAAGAGAAAAATAAAACCACAATATAGAGGTAAGAAACATTTAATTAAACATTTCAATGAATTTAAATGGAGAAATAAGAATAAATCAAAAGATATCTTTAATGAATTTCTTAGCAATAGTACAGATAACTAGATATATGTAAATATCTAATATAGAATATATGAATTTAGGTATAAAAATACTAATTTAATAGATTCTCGATCAGAAAACTGAATTTTGAAATAAAACAAAAATTATTATTAATTAAGAATAATAAAAATGCCTTTTGAATTAGAATTTAAACTTTTTTTAGGTGATCTGTCTCTTAATGCTGATAGATTTACACTATTAGCAGAAAATAATAATAAAAAATTATATGAAATAAATTTTATAGAAGATAATGAAACAATTAAAGATATTTATGATGACAATATAATGGAAAATGACTATAATTACGAATATAATCAATTTATATTAAAAATGGAAGATTTTTTAAGTGATAATGATATTAAAAGATTATATGTAAGCGTTTATGATGTAATAGTAGATTTTAGTAGATATGCCTATAATAAAAGCATTACAATAATAGTTGAAAACGATATGTAAATGTTGAAGAATATTTTTAAAAAAAAACTATTTTAAATTAAAATACCAAGAATTACCTTGTGTTATTGTTAATAAGGAAAAAAATATAAATATTATAAAAAGGGATTAATAAATCCGTTCTTTTATATAAAATATTTTTTTATCTTTCTATATAGTATATACATGTAAAGGTAAATTATATTCTTAAATGAATTCTTTATAATAGTATTATTTTAAATTTATATACTGGTATTAATATCTTTTGACAATAAATGTAAAATTAATATATGATTTAGAAATGAACTATATAAACTTATATATGGGTATCTTATAGAAATTAGTAAATTCAATAAAATATGAATCCTTTTGAAGATCAAGAGTTTAAAAAGAATATAAATAATAGTTTTATTATAAACTTAATTATAAATAATAATGATTTCAATATAAAAGAGTTTAATATAAAAAAATCTAGAAATAATGTAATTATATATACCTTAAAATGTGATAAAGTTAAATATGAATATAAATTTATGTTAGAAGAGTATAATACTAGTGAATCAAAAAACAAAAATAAGAATAAAAATAGAAATAAATTAAAAATTAATACTAATGATATAAATAATAAAATAATGAAAAATAATAAATCTTCTGCAATGTCAGAGGATTTGTAATAATAAAAATAATTTTAAAATTGTTCGAATACATGTAAAATATATTTTGTCTTAACATGAATTAAAAAATAACATCAAATTATAAAATGTATTATTTTGTTAAAAGTTATTATATATCCAAAAATGGTTTCTTTTTGATTTATAAACATAATTTGGATTTATTTCAAATATACTTTTTATGATAAATAATTTATATTTCTACTGAATTACACTTGTCACCTATAATACCTTCTAACCCTTTAATGTATTATTAATACAGATCTATAATATTTATATTCTAAAAATACAAGGCTTATAAATAAATTCAATTATTTCTTAATAATTATTATTAGATATAGCTTTATTATATTAGAATGCTATATTTTATATCAAGATATATTTAGTCTAATTTAAAACTTTTATCACAATAAAAGAACAATATGATTTTATTATATATAAATATTCAATTTTATCTTTAGAACAAGTTTACACTATATAAACAGCAGAAATTCAAATCCCGACTAGTAGATAAGTATCAATAATTTATAACTAATATTCTAGATATAGGTATATCTCCTTAAAGGATTTATCTTGTTGTAATGTATCGAATTGAGTATCGAATACTGGAGCAAACTACTTGGTTATTTATACTATTTCTAACTATATGTGGTTTCGGAGAAATGGATTTGAGGTTGATATGAAATGGAAGTAAAGGGGAAGATAAAGCTGTTACGAAAGGAAAAGGGGGGGTAGAGTGTTTATGAAATGAAGAAGGTGAAGTAAACAATGTTTGTTAACGAGAGAAATGGGGAAGATAGGATGGTTATCAGAAGAAATGGCACGGTAAAACAAAGGAAAGACCATTATTAAACAAAACAGGAATCTGGTTCAACTACTTGGCAAGGTGCTTGGTAGCACTTAACGCCTTACAACAGTACAACTTAAATTTCAATACATCAGAATCCATCCGTCCACGGAAAAGTCCCAGAAAAGTATCGCAATACTTCTTCTTTTTCAGAACTTATGATTGGCCGCCTTCTGTCTATGATTTCCATATGAGGCTATTCACGACATCTCATTGGTTTTTTCTATCATGGAGTGCCATTTGCGGTTTTTTGAAGCGTGTGAAAGGTTGCCTTCTGTCATAGACCACCATATGTAGTATTTGACGGCGTCCCATTGGCTGTTGGCTACCTGGACTACCATATTTGGCCTTTGATCGGGGCTCATTAGCTGTTTTCTACTATCGAGTACCATTTGTTGTTTCTTCAGTACGTGGTTGGTTGCCTACTAAGGAGATATACCTATATCTAGAATATTCGATTTGAATTATTGATACTTATCTACTAGTCGGGATTTGAATTTCTGCTGTTTATATAGTGTAATTTTGTTCTAAAGATAAAATTGAATATTTATATATAATATTGGGTATCGCTGTATACGACATCTCTATTTTCGCCTGTTACAAGAAGTCTACCTTTTTTGGGTTCCTTGACCGAAGTATCGCCGATGGCATAAGTCCCTCAAAAGATATTACCATTTCCTCTCCTCGCCCACGTCTTGGCACCCTTTCCCTTTTTACACCTGGCAACCGAATGCCATATGTCCATCCATAGTATAAATACCCTTGCGTCTGACATAAATAAAAGATGATCTGATCCACCCTCTTCTATCCCTTGTTCTACATATCCACCTGGCCTTGTACCTGACAGCCAAAAGGATTCCGACACTCTGTCGGGAGTTGAACTCCCTTCCTCTTTTCCAAAATGATGTCAAGTGCTGCGCACGGCAACAAACCCACTTTTAGAAATACCGTCAAGAAGTGTCCATCCTTTTACGGACAGGACACCGGTCCCTTCACTGTCTCTCTCCGACTTCTCTTGGCTATGACGATAATCGTCATAGTCCAATTCCCCTTTATATACGTATCCCCTTCTCGCAGGTTAATGCCAAACTCTTAGAAAAATATAAATACGCGAGAAGAATAATAATAAGATATTATCTTATCCACCCTCTATTCTTTTGTTCCCTTATTCCACCTGGCCCTGTCCTTACAGCCAAAAGGATTACGACAAGGATTCCTACACCGCAAGCGGTACTTTGTCGGGAGTTTAACTCCCTTCACCTTTTCTCTCCAAATGACGTCAAATGTTACGCACGGCAGCGCATCCGCATTTGGTATCCTTTCAAAGAAGTACACATCCTTTTGTAGATGCGCCACCGAACATCGTTCATTCCCCCTCCGACCCCTTGGCTATGACGCGTATCGTCATAGCCCATTATCCATTTATATACTTATCTCCTTCTCGCAGACAAATGCCAAGCACTTAGAAAAATATAAATACGCGAGAAGTAAAAATAATAAACATTATCTTATCCACCCTCTTCTATTCTTTGTTCTAACATATCCACCTGGCCTTGTACCTGACAGCCAAAAGAATCGCGACAACTTCAGAAAAGTAGTTGTATAGCGGAGAGTGGTTTCGATCCACCGACCTCTGGGTTATGAGCCCAGCGCGCTTCCTCTGCGCTACTCCGCTTATGCTTGTTATTGTGACAAAGCTGAAATCGCTCTTCAGGCCAAGCTACGCACGTGACCTTCCCCTCTGCCTCTCTCTCTCTGTTCAAAGACCAAGTTGATGACGTCATGATGTCACTTCCATTTTTGGTAGTGGTCTTCCACCTTCCTTTTTCGTGAATATTTGTCGATCGTTTATTTTCTGTTTTCTCTGAGTACGCTTTGTGTATTCATTTCCCATTCATTTGATTCCTCGCTTCGCCATTACTCTTCTCCTTTTTCTACGCCATATTTATCGTTCTTTAGTCTGATCCTTAGCCACTTGTTTATTCTTGTGATTTCCTTACCTCTCTTTTTATGTTGATCTTTTTTTGTTGTTCGATACTTTAGTTCCTTCTTCTTAGTTCCCTCGGGATAAGTGATGTCGATACATTCGCTTATTATTTGTTTATTAGCTACCCTACGCCATGATCCTAAATTATAAAAGATCATGGCCATACCACAAAATGAAGGCATCTTTTTTTAAGAAGAAAAAAAAAAGAAGACTTACCTCCTCCGGAGATACCGCTACCATTTCCTCTGTACCGCACGTGTCATTATTGACAAAGGTATAATCGATCCTCCGGCCAAGCTAAGCACGTGACCGCCCTACCTTCCGTACCTTGACTACCTTGATTTCTCGTACCTGACGTCAGACCGTTGTCCTCTCACTTTTTCCTTTTTCGGCACTATTTTTTATACTTCCTTTTTACGAGTTTAATACGGAGTTCTAAAGGAGTATTGAAATGGCTCGTGTGTCCGTCTGTCTGTCGGTCCGTCCGCCTGTCGTCCCGTTTTATTCTTGATATGATTGGCTGGGAGTATCTTTCTCCGAGGCCAACTCGTGATGTGATTGGTCCAGACTTTTTTTCGAGGACATAATTTTACGTGATTGGTCGGAAATAATTTCCTCCGAGAAAATACAAAAAAGGCAACTTTTGCATGTAGACGCGCTCTGATCTGTAGAATCAGAAAATCCGGTTTTCGGCTCATAATTCCTCCGAAATGGATAACCTTTGACCGTATTTCACTTTTTGGTTGCGCTTTGAGGGGCTTACTCTTTCAAGGTCTTACCGAACCACGTGAGTTTTACATATGGTATACAGAAAAATTTGGGCTACCGATCTCACTTATTATGCAAGGCTAAGAAGGCTAGCTCAAATACCACTAGCCTGACATTATCTATGGATTTGGAAAGAATCTATGAAGTAACTTTATATTACTGGATTTTAAAATTATTTATGGGCAGAGAAGCATTATATTGTGTAACAAATTGAATTTTATATATAACAAAAAGTATTTATTTTCTATATTTAATATATAATTTATATATTATCTATAGTTTTATTCCTGTATCTATAAAATATTACTGTATTTATAGCTTCTACATGTAAGCATATATTGTATTTTTAGGGTATTTTTTAAAAATGACCAAAAAAATGATTATAGATAAAGATTTTAAAGAAGAACTTCAAAAATCTATTAATAATTTGGTAGCTAGAAGGTGGGATTTTATGAATTATGAATGGCCAATGTTAACTAATAGAATTAATCATAGAAGCGTTATTAAAGATTTAAAGAATAATAGTATTAGATTTATAAAAAATTATTTATTAGAAAAATTAGGATATACAGCAGTATTTTATTTTATAGTAATTTTGTATGGTAATAAAGAGTATCCAGGTCCTTATCATGAAGTTGATAAAGCTTTAGTGTTATTGTATCATATTGTTTCTGGTGAAAATGGAGTTGATATGGATAAATTTCTTCCATATAGCTCATTTTATAGAATATACAAAAAGTTTTGGATTACAAATTATACTAATATTAATAAAAAAGTAAAATTTGATTTAGAAAAAATGTTTAGTACTACTAAAATTAGAATTTTATCAGCAAGAATTAATAACCTAATTATTTAAAAAATACAACATTATTATTAGATGGTATAGATACAAAAATTAAAGGTTAAAGGGTAAAATAACTTACGAGAATTTTTATCAAAAATTTTACAATCTAAATAAATTTCAATAAAAACTACTCCTGCATATTGTTACACAAAAAATTTATCGTGCATACTTTTAGGTATAAAATTGATTTTTTAATTTTATAAAAAAGTTTTATTATTATATTATAATTATAATATTTTTATATTTATTAAACCAGTATGAAATCACACAAAATCACTAAGTTACAAAAATCTAAATATGACAAAAATTATCTAATTGTACATCAACCTATGAAAAGATATGATATAATTGAAAATACGAAAAATATGAAAAATATGGAAGTTATGCAAAATATGGATTCTATGAACAAAACTATGATAAATAATACAACATATGCTAAGATTCTAAGATATGACAATTGGACAATTTCTGATATTAGTAGGATAGAACGTAATTTGTTAAAAGATGTTAAAAGGAGACATAAATATCAAAAACCTAAACAAGAAATAAAAGAAAAAAATATCAAAGTAACAAAAAAGCTTGATAATCTATTTAATATTGAATCATATCATAATTTACATGAAATATTTATTGATGAAAATAAAGCAATACAGTATCTATTTGATAAAGGCTATTTAAATAAAAAATCTAAATGTGAGAATTGCAATAATGAATTAGGTATATATTATAAATCCAAATTATATAGATGTAAAAAAGAAGGATGTAGAAAATCTTTTTCAATCCTAAAAGGTAATATTTTTGCTAATCAAAAGTTACCCATAAATGAGATTCTACATATACTCTATGAATATTTAAAAGAAACACCAAGAAAAAGTATATATTCTTCACTAGTTAAATCACCTAAAACTATAACAAAATATAGCAATATTTTTAGAGATATATTTCAAAAAAGTAATAAAAAAGTTATATTTGGAGATTATAGTGAAATTGATGAATCTATGATGTCCAGAAGGAAATATAATAAAGGTAGATTACAAAAAGGTCAAACATGGGTTATTGGTATAACTAATAGAAAGATTAATAGTAATAAAAAAGATTATCATATTGAGATAGTTGATAAACGAGATAGAAAAACATGTGAAGATTTTATAAGAAGAAATGTAAAACCTGGTTCAATAGTTTATACTGATTCTTTCAAGTCTTATCATAATTTGAAAAATATTGGATACAATCATAAAATGGTGAACCATTCAAAGAATTATGTAGATAAAAATAATAAAAGTATTCATACACAGAATATTGAGAATATGTGGGGTTTAATAAAAAGAAAGATTAAACCTCAATATAGAGGTAAAAAACATTTGATTAAACACTTTAATGAGTTCAAATGGAGAAATAACAATAAATCTAAAGATATCTTCAAAGAATTTCTTAAAAGTGGTATCAATAACTAAATATTTAGATATACTGGTCAATATGAATTATATCTATATATAAAAAATACTTACTAATATATTTGACAAATAATTACTTGTTTGTATTTTTTATATTACAAGATCTTTAAATATAGTCTTCAATAAATATTATTAGATCATCATCAATAAAATCGTTTAAACTTACATATATACCAAATTCAATTAGGTAGAGATTATAACATTCTTCATTAATTATAAATATCTTTAATTTATGAATGAATTCATCAAATGTTTCATTAAATACTTTATCTTTTAATATTTCATTATATCTACTATTTAAATTAAACTCATATACTATATTATTGTTATATGTAGTTTTATAAAAATTTTGTCTATATAATACTAAGCTAAGTAAAAACTTCTTTGCTTCATCCATAATCATTTTATTTCTATATAAAATTCTATTTTTTGATGTGTAATCTATTAAAAAAGTATATTATTTAATTTTATCTGAGAATACTAAAAGTAATAAATTTCTCAAATACGGATTTAAAAATCCGTTTCTTTATAAAAGATATTATTTCTATTCAAATGTTATAAACTAAATTTTGAAATTATGAAATATTCTTATCTTTTTGTACTTACTATAAATACTAAATATAAATACAGAATTTAGGTATAAACTAACAAAACATACTTATACATACATTATAGAATATGAACTATTATAAAAAATGAATCCTTTTGAAGATAACGATTTTAAAAATAATATGAATAATAGTTATATAATAGACTTAATAATAAAAAATAATGATTTTAATATAAAAGAATTTAATATAAAAAAATGTAAAAATAATATTATTATATATACTTTAAAATGTGATAAAATTAAATATGAGTATAAGTTTATGGTAGATGAGTATTCTACCATAGCTTCTAAAAGTAAAAGTAGTAAGAATAAAAATAAAAATAAGTTAAAAATTAATACAAATGATTTAAAAAATAATAAAACTAATAAATCTTCAGCAATGTCTGAGGATCTGTAAATATATAAATAATTTAAAACTAAAATTATTATAAGAAAATAAAAATATCATTAATAATTAAGAAATATGTTAATATTTACCTTTTTATATAAATCTAAAAATAAGATAAAAATGAAATTTTGATGTAAATTTGATATTTTCATAAAAAATATTATGATAAGAATTTGTTAATTTTTCTCAATTCTATTTCGTCACCTATAATACCTCCTAACCAAATTAAATATTATAAAGTAAATGAAAAAAGATCTGAATTATATAGCCACAAGTTAAAATCACCTGGTATAAGAACACAAGTTGTTATAGATGTAAATTCTATGATATTATGCACCAGTAAATCCCAAAAATGTGCAAAAGGTAATGATGGTAGTATGTTTATACAAATGGGATTATATAAAAAAATAAGTAAATATGATAATATTTGCGTTGATGGTGGTTATACACAATATATAGATAAATTTAATGAAATAGCTGAACAAGAAGGGTATAAGCTGAACAAGAAGGGTATAATCATTTTAGTAGGAAGAATTTCAACTTTCCTATTAGAAAAGAAAAAAATATAAATCTAACAAATGAAGAAAAAATCTTATATATAAAAAAAAACCCACCGCTGAAACT